ACACACACACACACACACACACACACACACACACACACACGAGCATGCATGTACACATGTGTGCGTGGAGAGAGAAATGTAAAATAAATCTAAAAAAAACTAGCCAGGTCGTAAACACCAGCTGTTCCTTTAATTTGATTAAATTCTTTTTACTTTGATTAGGAAGTGCCTTTTATTTATTAAAAAATTACAGCAGCTAGGACACAGGTCAGCATGTTCACAGTGCTTACTCATCCCAAGCAGATGCAAGATTAGGCAACTCCTATTTCCTTATTTTACCTATCTTTATTTTGTCAATGATTAGCAACACACACACACACACACACACACACACACACACACACACACATTAATTTTGTAGAAAGGGCTGGTTAAGTAATTAAAAAGGACACAGAAGTAGTCCTAAGACAGAGATAGGACCAGGTTTTGTGGTAGAGGTAACTTTGACTAAGCCTGCTGGAGAAGGGCAGAGGACCGGGCCTTCAGGAGACAGGCCATATTGTCAAAGGCCACTTGCAGAGGTCCAGTGGATAACAGAGAGGCACAATGGAGGTTGATCTAGAGCAGATAGCTCAAAACTGTCCCAAATTGCCAGACCAATGCACCAGACAGGAATGTCCACTAGCAATGTGCAATCAACTCCACTTGCATAGAGACCTGCTGCAGGTGTAGCTCAAAGAGTGAACACCTAAAGGAAGATGAGGTAGCTGAGGAACTTTATATCCTTGTCCTGATTAATTAGCAAATGATTCATTTAGACACACATGAGCATAGAACTTCTGAATCACAGAAAGCTGACATGGAAACTTCACACTTGAATATACAGGGCAGCTGCAGAATAGATAGATGGCTGGCTGGTCATTGACCACTGTTGCTGTGATATCAGCCCTGATCCTCAACCTCCCAAGACTCTGGTTTACAATACGATCTTGAGATCATGAGAGTCCCAGCTGGTCCACATGGCAGCAGATACAAGGGGACATTGCCATCCAGAGGAGAGGCTGTGAGGCCTGTCCTCTTTTTCACAGTTTCCCAGATGTGTCTTTCATTAATTAGACACTAACCCACTTTTGTCTTTTCATAGGAGGCCTTTTGTTTGAGACAATAGAAGGCCACCAGTTTGGGACAATGCTGCTGAACACTTCCTGGAATGTTTGGAAACCAGCTAGAGGCTGGCCATTAGTTTCTCAATACTTCCTTTTTCCCTGGTGTGGCATTTGAACTCATCTTCATCATCTGCTTTGTGTTTCCAGTTTGGGAGAATAGAGTGAGAAGGGGTGGGAAAAAATGCTTGAATTCCCTTTAGTGATTGTCTAGACTGTGATGGGATTACCAGACTATTCAGGGGCTAAAGCAGAGGGCGGGTACTAGACAATAACTTATTATGCTTTTCTCCCCAAAGCTATTGCGTTTCATGCTGAGTTTGTTTGCTTACTCAAATCCCTCTACTCCTTCCAGTGATAGAGTGGAGCAAAAACAAACAAACAAACAAACAAAAAATCATAGTGGGAAAAGGAAAAAAAAAACATAACACAGTGTTTTAGTTTTGTCTAGTTTTCCTGTTGTCCTGCTAAACCATCCTGATACAAGGCAATATAGGAAAGTAATTATGTATCATCACAAAGGCAGGAGCCTGAGACACCTGTCTAGTCAAAAGCAGAGAGAAACAAATATCCCCAGGCTGCCTTCTTGTCTAGCTTTCCTCTGTCCTGTATAAGTCAGCCTATCCGCTCCACCTAGGGAATGGTATCACCCACAGTAGGCTAGATCTTTTGATATCAATGAACAATCAATATAATTCCTGGTCAACCTGGTCTAAATAAATACTCACTTGAAAGTCTTTTCCTAGGCAATTCTAGATTGTGGTGAGCTGACATTTTAAAATGACCCATTCCACATGGTACACTTGTTAAAATTGCATCAATTTGTATCATCCAAGGGCTACGCAAAGGAAAAGGAGACACTGCAAGTACTAACTTGAAATGCCTCTTGGAGACCTTGCAGAACAACAGCAAATGATTTTGGCATAAAGGCCTGAGGTAATGATGGGGACCTTGGAAAACTAGCCTTGGGTAGAGTCCATCTGTCTGTCAAATCAGCTCTAGAAATGGGAGAGGTAAAGTTTAGAAACAGGTGTGGTTGTGCCCCCACGTCATCACCACAACAACATGACACTGTTGTCAGTCACTTAGCTGGCAGCTCTCTAGTCTTGGTTTGGAGGACTGAGGTTGGCACTGGTGTTCATCTTGGTAGGGGCAGGAGATGAGAAGCAGGAAAGAGGCTGCTGCAGCTCCCTAGGATTTTGCCCAGAATAGACCCACTGTTAGAGCCTCAAGGTCCTTTAACTGAAGAGCTCTCCAAGGCCTTGGGCATGATTTTTCACTGCCTTGTTAATGGCCATTGTGTTAGCTTTGAGCACCATAAATCCCATCTGTGACCCTGGTCCTGGCCCCCTTCTGTGGCTGGACGTTAACTCCTCAGCTTCAATGAGTGACAGCTTCCTCATCTCAGTAAGGACAACGAAGATCCCCAAGTTGCACATGGCCCCCGGTATGGGCTCACCCAACTCAGACAGTGCAAGGGGAGTCCCTGATACAAAGGCCTGGGCCGTACCAGATTGGGCGGTGGTTATCTCTCTTCTTCTGTGACCTGTTTTGGCAGCCATCCTTCTGTGTGTGTCAATCTGCTCATAGTTTCAAATCAGCTCATTCTTAAACATTCCAAGATTCGACAGAGAACGGGAGATTCTGAGTGTCCTCAGTTCTGAAGGGGCTTTATTTCCCTCCTTCCTTTTTTATATTTTAACTGTTTTTTTTTTTTTTTTACTTGCTTATGAAGCTTAGGTTGTCCTCACACCCAAAAACTAGCCAAAGATGGCCTTGAACTTTTGATCCTCTTTCCATCACCTCCCTAGCACTAAGATTAGAGGGATGTGCCACCATACACCCTCCTTTGTATGTTTAACACACCACTCTAGCCATGTCCTTTATGCTCCTTGGAATCCTTGTTGGTGACAAGCCATGTAGAAAGGGATGATCAGAGGGAAGCAGACACAACATACTCCCATACTGAAACACTGCCAAGCAGTACCTGGACATTTTTTCTTCCAGCTTTCTTCCTCCTCCCTGCTGGCTCAGTCCTAAAGCCATGGGAGTAAATGATCTCTTTTGGCTGATGGCATTTGGGTCATGAAACCACTCATAGTGAACTTTCTACACTGGTAAGAGGGATAGGAAAGAGACCAGGATGACGAGGGGATACTAACTCCTTCAGGGTGTGTGTGTGTGTGTGTGTGTGTGTGTGTGTGTGTGTGTGTGTGTG